AAGTTGAGGACTACCTGTAATGTGTCCTTAACTTGTAATAAATAAACCCTACTACTTACTCCATGCAAATAATTCTTCACCAGTTTAATTTCTGGCTGTGAAATTATTTTTAAAAGTTCAAGGCCTACTATGTGGAGGATACAAATTATTAATGGTTCTAAGCAGTAGTAATTTTCTATTTGGAATAGTTGAATGTACCTCTTCTGGTAGGTTGCTGTCCAAGAGTGATGGCTACAGGCCGTACGTCCACCCAGAACATATCCTTGGGATTTCAAGCCAAACCTCCCTAATAGTTGTCACCATCAAAATAAATAATTCACAACATGCCTCCTAAGTATAACCTTACATTATCCTTTCTTCATCATGTAGCCACAATAAAAATGACATAATGCATACAAGGTTTTATCGCTAGGCGCATCTTATTAGACAGTATTGGCTGAACCATGATTTATTAAAACATCTACAGCTGATTGGAGACAGAAAAGGCAAGTTTAAAGCAAACTAACTATATTGTAACTTAGTGTGGAATGAGAATTTTAATAGAAACGAGGAACTAAACCCTGGCTACCTCCCTCTCACACTTCCCCCTCCCAAAATTATGGTATTTTTTTCTTTAAACGGATATCCGAATGCAGCTTCAAAGAAAGTAGGCAGTAGCTGTGTTTACGTAACATGTTTAGTCATGGTTAACTTAAAACTGATGGGCTTGATGGCTGTGTTAATCACAGAGTCAATTTATTATCCTAAAACCTTCTTTCTCTCTAATAGCAGAGTTACCAACTCTTTTTTAAAATTCAAATTGCAAGAGAGGAAAATATATAATTTTCCTGTTCATTTAGGATATAAATGGCTGGGAAACATTAAAAGCATCCTCAGATGTAAACTATTGTGTGAAGAAAGCTACAGCAATTGTTTAAATTCAAGCCTTCTACTCTGCTCCATAAAACACAAGGAACAAAATAGGATGACTGCAGGAAAAAAATAAAAAAGAGGCAAGCTTCCAACAGTCAGAATTTGGGCAGTCAATTATCAGCAAATAAAAGTGATGTCTCATTTAAAGTCTGCCTTACAGCTATCAAATATAGCACCCCTTAGATCTAAGTTTTTGGCATTGCATGCACATGCCAACATTTTAAATATACTAATGCTTTAGCTACAGTTCAGTGTGCAGTTATGTAATTTTAGAGTCTGGCTAGAATAATTTGATACTGACATTTTTTAGATACAGCAGATACCGGTAAATTTATTGGTAAGGCTGTGTTGCTCATACAGGATTTGCCAAATGGGGACTCGGCTCGGAGTACCCAGAGCAATGTTCTAATGGCACCCTTGTGAATGCAAACTGGCAACTTTGTCCTTGAGATCATGAACAGATATAAGGATCTGCCTATTTTCTCTTACATCAGCCCATCCCTGTTTCCCCTGTGGATTAATTACCACTGTTGTTCTCTGCTTCAAGAAGAGTGTGATGCAGACCACTGTATTTGGGGAGTTTGCTGAGAAATGACACTTCCACCATCTCACCATCTCTGAAATTCATAAGCAACAGCTCTGGAGGAGAAGGTAAGCATTACATACTACCATGGCTAAGTTTTTAAATACCTTGTGGTGTTACATAGCCCAAACATAAAGCAAAAAGCAAATATTGAGGCTTCATAAGTAATTGCTGCAAAGATTTCCAGGATGTACTGTAGATGAGGGAAGCAGAAGAGAATTTACTCTAGGGCCAGGCTAGGAGCTTCCCCAGTGGCTTAATTATAAATTCTACAAAGCGTTATGGGAAAAGAAGCTTACAGTTCTGAAATGTTGCAAGAGAATCTAATAGTCTATCCAATGTTGAATGTTAATGGATTTTGGACATGTCTTTGCACAGAAAGAATGTCATAGCTTTGGGGACATGAACCTAACACATTTAATTGTGTCACATGAATGCACAATTTGTCTTCAGATGTTGACAAACTTCCCAGCATTCCTCATTATTAGCCATGCTGGGTGGAATTGTTAGGAGCTATGGTTCAGTTACATCAGGAGAGCTGCATATGTTATGCAATCATGCTGAAGTTATATTCCTGAGACCAAGAAATATAATGATGGTTTGGTTCAATTGGTTCAATTTATTGTTTATTGGTTCAATTTATATGCCTCCCTTCTCCGGAGACTCAGGGCGGCTTACAATGCATTAAGCAGTAGCCGTCATACTTTTGTATATACCTGCTTAGTAGGGCTTTCCCCCCCCCCCCAGCAGTGTTCTTTTTTATACAAAGTCAGCTTATTGCCCCCACAAACCGGGTCCTCATTTTACCTACCTCGAAAGAATGGAAGGCTGAGTCAACCTTGAGCCTGGTGAGATTTGAACTTGCAGTAATTGCAGGCAGCTGGTGCTATTTAACAGCATTTTAGTCTGCTGCGCCACCAAGGCTCTTAGTTGCTACAAAAATAGCAAAATGATTTACATTTCAGCATTTTCCTTATACTTGTCAAATGGCCAGCGATAATACCGCTTATTTTAAAAAGAATTATTAACAAAGCTTAGGTCAACTTTTTATTAACTTTCTTCATGCATTTGTTATTTAGTAGGTGTATGTAGTAGGTGGAATTTTCTCAAGTTATTTTAGCAAGTGGAGCTTTTTCTGGCAGAAAGGGAAAAGCAACAGGCAAAGCATTTGATTCATACCCACATGTCAGGTTGCTGTGAAAATACCTACATGGTGACAGCCATTGCCAACTTTTCCACTAACTCCTATAGGTGTGATATGCAAAAATAAAAACATCAGAAAAAAACATAATCACATAAAAATGTGGGACAGTGAAGGGCTACCACAGTGCTACAAAGAGCAATTGAAAACTTACCAGGCTTATTAGGTATCCTAGATCTGTGGTGTCTTATACTCTTGAATAGCGTGCTAAACTCTTGTCTCTTAAGGTTCTCTGCTCCTTAACAGTAATGGGCCACAATTCAATAGGAAAAATACAATTTTCATCATGGCAATTCCCTTCTACAGGTAAGGATAAAACTTCTGTTAATGAAGGTGTTAAACTAAACCTGGGAAATGAAGGAATTACTAACCATCATCTCCAATTATCAACCATCATTTCCAAACCACTAAGAAAACACATGACCAATAAATTATACACTATTCATGTATATTATTTTATATGGTTTATTAGGTGGATTTCCTTCAGTTATTTTAATGAGCGTTGAATTTAACTATACACACAGAGTCCTTGGGAAATATGGCAGTATAACAATACAGCACATACCTAAATTAAATAGATAAGATTTAGTTCCCAGGCTGCCACCCTCTTATTTATTTGTAAGCTAACTTCTTCCTAAACCCGATGAAAGCTGAGTATGCTACAATCATGTAAGAATGTAATATCTGAAGATGTAAAACTTATGAGTTTTTTTGTCAGGATGCTTTCTTTTATTATAAGCAATTTTTCTCTTGTAAGAAAAATATGTCGTAATTTTCCCTGAATGTTTGGAGTTTTTTTAAAAATGGGGGTTCACTGTCAGTGCTTCTCGGCCTCTGTTATTTAATCAATAAAATGCAATGGCTTTGAAGATAAAAGGAGTTAGTTTTCACACAGATAATGGGATCTGTGGCAATCAGAAGACAGAGAACGGTTCATCCACATGATCTGCATAAATCAGATGGCAGGAATCAGTTTTGGAAGGATAAAGAAGACTGTTTTTTATGGCTTGTTCCCAAGAACAAAATCCCTTTTTAGAAAACAAAGTATGTGCAGAATCTTTGCACTGAATAGCTCGGTGAACTAAGAGCTATTCTTCAAAATATTTCCCAATCCTTATGTCAGGAGTCGGCTAAGAGCTTTCTTTAAGAGGCTGAAAAAACATAGAGCAACATTATAGGAGCAAAGTAATAATTTGCATTGACAAAGCTATTCTTATGTTTGTCATGTTAATTTTGTTTACACTATGTGTAAACTTGCTCTGTGAAGAGCATTTTACATTGCTTTGGAGCTATTTCTTGGCAAACTCCATACGCTAACAAAAAAGAATTCACTACCATATAAAGTATACATCAGTGTCATGCCCGCCCCTTTCTTCTTTCTGGAGCTTGTTTAGCTTGTTCCTCAGTCATGACTCAAGGCTGCAGTCCTACACACATTGCTAGGGAACTGGCATAGTAGAGAAAGTCAAACTGAAATTCTACACTGTACATACTAACCTGGCATGACATCCTCATGAATTACGGTATGTGAGTCTCCACTTAAAAAATCCACTTTCTCTTAATTCCAGTCCTCATCTCAGCAACACAGAGGGCAATATGGAGGTGACCATAGACCTTTACCTTATAGGGGTGCTGTGAGAATTACATCTAAGCAATGTAAGTAAGACACTGGGAAAAAAAATCCAAAATTACAATATCAGACAGCACATTCCATTGAAGAAAGTAGGGCTTACTGTATTTTCAAGGAAACACATCTGATTTAAAATGTATGTAAATATTGGGTAGGCAACAGTTTCAGTCATGGACACATAATAAGAAAAGTGATGGATGGATCTTCTGCATGCCGTAAGATGTTATTTGAGCTTATGCAAATTTACATTTAAGGAAGGCCCACAGCATTTTCTCTCACTCCTCAATAGTTATTTCTTTAAAGTATCTGCTTCCTTTAAAAATATTTCTAGGGTTGATCAACATTTTTTGAAAATGCGAAGCAATAACTAACAGCCTGGTAAGTATGGGCACACAGATTAAATAGGTATAGGAATGTATGCAATCTCAAAACCAGGAACATATGTCACAGATTAATACTGTAATCGCGTTACAGTGAAGGTAAAGGAGAAATGAAGTGCCAGCTTTAATCAATACAAGCCTTCCTTGACAGAGCTGATCTTGCAGAAATAATACCGCGGTTCGCAGTGTATTCACCAAAGGATCCGATTTTCTTAGCGCAATCCTACACTCTGCTCAGAGGTCCCTTTCAATTCAAAGGGAAGTTCAGTCTCAGATAAGCAGGGATGGAGCCGTCAAGGAGACGCTCGTGTAAGAGTGAATTTGCAACTCTGGTTATTTGAAACAGTAACAACAAATACCACTCAGCGATGCACCGATTGCACCACACAACTAATGGGAAGCCAGGGACAGAGGAGCCAGGACGCCAATTGCATCACCGCCAAAGGAAGCAAAAAGCGCCCCGACCAAGCTGGAAACGGGGGAGAGCTTCCTCCCACTCAAGGCCGGCTATGCCAGGGCGAGGGAGGGGAGGACCAACGTCACCGGCTGCGACGAGCCAGAGAGAGGAAGTCCTGGAAACACGTGTCTGCACCGGCCAAGACTGTGCTCTGCTCTGGATCTGATGCTGCTTGCTTGAATGCAAGTAGGGAGTCGGAAAGGTAAGAGTGAAGGGAGATTAAAGCAAACGGCTGTTTAAGGAAGTCGGGGCGGAGAAACGACACCAAGAGCTGCACTTCGGTCGCCCCTTTTCCATTCGCCACTCTGGAACCTTCTTTTGAGAGGTTTAAACTTTACAAAGGGGAAAGTTTACAAATCTCCAAAGATCTCCAAAGGAAAGCAGGGCTCCTGCGATTTTATTTATTTTAAAGAACAAGGGATGTCAGCAGGGGTAAAATCGTGAGGGCAAACGATGGTCTGATACAACACAGAAGTATTATTTTGTGCCTGTTTCCACACCCCTCCCCGAAGCATCTCTTATAGAAAAGGTAAATAGGGACAAGTCGTTTGTAGGTCACAAATGCAAAACAGGGTGAAAAATGGAACATGAAAGTGCAGGATTTAAAAAAAAAAAGAGGTGGATAAAATATGAAAATCCCATGCTTTCTTTCAGTCTGGGGTTTTTTGATGTCTTTAGTTTTTAAAACTTCTATATATTGCATATTAAAAGTGCACATGTAGAATGTTGTACCTGATCTGTTGAAACTCACAACATAGGTTCTAGTTGCTTCTATCTAACACCTGGTTGTCCAACCTTTTGGCTTGCATGGGCCATACTGAGTGAAGAGGAATTGTCTTGGGCTGCATATAAAATTAATGCATATAAATAGCATTTATTTTTAGTTCTTTTTAAATTTATTATCTTGAGGGGCTGCATGCGGCCTATGGGTTGTGGGCTGGATATATCTGATCTAACAGTTGCTCCTTAAAAAGCCCAGTTTATTGGTATCCCAAAACAAATCATGTTCCAATGTAGCAACTGGTTTCAAACAAATACTCCTCAGAATTCAGTCTGGAAAGTTAGCAAAGCAGTTTTTCCAGTTGTCTTAGAGACATTGAAAGAACTCTTATGATGGAGGAAAAAAGTTTTGATGACTTCAGGAATTATTACTGCACAATCATTGTGGACTGCCATCTGGTTCATCAGATGCACAGAGTATAGTGCTGAAATAGGAATATTATATATGGACACAGCAGAAGAAGACAAATGCCAGACAATTTTATGCATGGCTTAGCCACTGCTAATGCTATAAAGATGAGTCTAGCTATTTCATCTGCTATATATGGTATGTTCTCTCTCGGAGAACAAAAAGGAGAAAAAGGCTCTTTAGCAAGGTTGATTGATTATGTGCCATCAAGTTGGTGTTGACTCTTAGGGACAACATAAATAGATTTTCTCCATGGCAATCTGTTCCTAACCTGGTCCTTCAAGTCTTTCAGCAGTGTAACTGATTCCGTCCACCTTCTCCTAGATGTCCTCTTTTCTTTGTTTCCACCTTTCCTAGCATTTTTAACCTTTTCCATACAGCTAGGCCTTTACATAATGTTACTAAAGTAAGATCATTTGAGCCTGGTCATTTGGGCTTCAAGTGATAACTGTGATTTGTTTTTATGATCCATTGTTTGTTTTCATAATTTTATTCTTAGGTGTTTTCTTTACCACAAAAGATCATAAGTGCAAATATTCTTTCTGTCCTGTTTCTTCCAAGTCCAGCTTTTCTTTCTATAATGTGTCATACCATTGCTTGCACAATTCTGATCTTTGTACATATAGACACATCATGGCATTTAAATATATTTTGCAAAGCCTTCAAGAACTGCTCTAGCAAGTACAGGTCTGTAGTGTATTTCTTTGCTGCTTGTTCCTGTAGTGTAGAATAGGCTTGTCAAATTGGTAGTCCACAGGCCAGATACGTCAAGTGCAGGCCACACTCAACCTGGCTCCGCAAAGGCAAAAAAGTTGCGATATATCATGATCCGTCCTGTGATGTGATCAAGTTTGACACCCATTGTGTAGAAGATTGATCCTAAAAGGCAGAAGCTGTGTACCACTTCAAAATCTTCACTGCCAAATCTAAGGCCTATTTTTATTAGATTGGCCTTTTATATGTAATCTTAGTCCCATCAACATAACATAAACTATTGGTGTTTCTTCCTCCATTTTCGAAACTGTGTTCATCTTTTTCTAGTCCATCTTCCCTTTATATATATATTCAGCAAACTATTGTACAATGTCCTTACTTTCTAAGAGTTTGGCTCCTTTACTTCTACAGTGATCAAGGGGAAAGTTGGATTGGTTGCTTGGTTTCTGCATTTTGCCTCATTCTAAGCTTCTAATTTTATATCTTGATGATAAAATGGCCTATAATTCCAAGGCTGTGCACCAGGAGAAATTTGAAAGACATTGATGTCTTAAATTTTTTAAAACATTGTTTTATTTCATTAGACTAATGGAATTCTTTTTCTGACAGTTTTTTCTTTCCTGGAACTGTATAGAATCTTTAGCAAGAGGAAATAATCCAGGAATCGCTGTTATATTTATATTGTTCTTTAAATTATTACAAAGTACATTATATCCTAGTGTTGCCATTTTCTCTTTCTCTTTAAAAAAAAAAAAGTCCTTGTTCCTGTTGTTTAGTAGCTAGCAAATTACTTCTTTTCCTCCCATTTGTTTTAATGCCAAGAAAAGCTTCCATTTGCTTTATAGCTGTGGTCAAGAAGTTCTTAGTAGTATAACAACAAAGCTTTTTAAAAATTGGCAATTCTTTAATACTCTAGTAGAACCTCCTCATTCAAAGAATTCTTTCATGTTACCTACCAATTAGTCTTGTCCAATTGTTTACTTTTTTCTCATTTTTTAAAAAAATTCCATTAGCATGTAAAATCAGAAGATAAGTTAATAAAGTCAGAGTGCAGATTCATAGTCTTGCATTAGCTTTCTAACTCTAAATTGCATTTGGCATTTGTAATTCTGATTACTCTCGTGTTGGAAATATAACGTACTTATGAGATTACTCCTGTCCCTATCTACAAAGATCAAATATATGGTGAGTGTAATTGAATGATTACTAGATAAAGCATAGGAACCTCGTGAAATTATGACTTAATTTTGGTGGTCAGCAGTTAGGCGCTGAGATAAAAGATCGAATGGTGATGCTGGCACAAGAGGTCAGAGGACTTTTTGTCAAGTAATTGCAATGCTCCAAACCTTTCGGAATAGACATGGTGATTTGCAAAGTACAATGTCCAGTCAGGCATAACACTCTTGCATTATTAATCCTTCTTCTCCTCCTCCTATTAAAATTGTGTAACAGTGTTATGTGGCCTTAGATATTTAACATGTAAATGAAAATCAATAAACACAAATAATTTTTTGCTATATCCCATAGGAAGCTTTTTAAAAAGCTTGTTAATATTCAGAATGTACTCTTCTCCAATTTTCACCTGTATCTGAAGAAGCAGCTTCTCCTTAAGTCTACCTAATCAGAGTAGGTAACTTGAGATACTGTTCCCCCCTCCGCCCTGCGCTTATGTGACTTTCTTAACCATTTTTTCCCAACATTTTCAGCCACTTCCATTTGCAGTTATTGAAAATGGGTTGCATTCTAACCAATTTGAGGTGGGAAATATGCTTCAATGAAAAAAGGAAAAAAAAAAAAAGGTTCCCCAATAAAGTAAATTCAGATTCTGCCACATTATGTTTGGTATGGTCCCATTCGCTCTGAGAATGTTCCTCCCAAATGTTAAATCCTGTATAAATGTATGCTCAGTGTCAAGAATCTTGTTCAGAATTATCAGACCTTGCAGGATAGTTGAAAGCTTTCTGTTCAAGTCTCTTCCTAGGAATTTGCTATTTTAGGGAACCAGTTTGCGAGGTGTTAAACTGGAGAATATGTGCTTCTGCAGGACAATTATCTAAAATTGCTATTTCATGGGAACCTGACTCGCATGTAAAGAAGAACTGGGATTTAAATATGCATTCCACAGACTTTGGACTCCCCGAATATTGTATAAGTATCAATATTAGATAGCCTGCTAGAGACTGCTGCATCCTGTGCCTAGTTCTTACAGTGGAAAAGACTGAATTTTGGACTTCTTGATGCTATCGAACTAAACTTGAACCACTCCAGCTGTTAGATAACTGATTTCTCTTGTGAGTTTCTTGTGTTAAAAAGGCTATTCAGGATCGTAGGTCATCTTTAGATCATGACTTGGAACTATGGAATGATGCTTTATTTGGGTTGGTGATGGGGAACTTAAATGAGAAAGCGTAGTTGTGAAGAAGAAATAAGAATGATAGGCTAACACAGGAGAAGCAAGGAGAGATTCTGAAGTATGTTTGTTTCCTTTTTCCTTAGCTGCAAATAACCTGCCAGTGGCAACATTGTCGTGATGAGTTTTATTGAATATGGAGATACGATAAAAGAAGGAGACACAGCAATTGTCTTCTTGGGACATGAATCGATGTTTCCAGTGAAGGTGCAACATGGTGGTAAAACTCAGACTAAGTATGGCGTTATTAGACACTCAACCGACCTCATTGGAAAGAAGTATGGTTCCAAGGTGACCTGCAGCAAAGGAGGTTGGGTGTACATCCTTTATCCGACTCCAGAGTTATGGACACTGAACTTACCCCACAGAACTCAAATCCTGTATTCAACAGATATCTCTCTAATCACCATGATGCTTGAGCTGAAACCAGGAAGTATAGTGTGTGAATCAGGTAATGGGACATGACTTGCTGCAATATTGTTGCTTCTTTTTGTTCTTTTCTATCAGAGGTTTCTAGTACAAATGACAATTGTTTATTTTTATGTATTCAATTTGGATGCTGTCCAACTACAAATGATGGGGGGGGGGCAAATAAAGAGCAACATTAAAAAAATGACAACAAAGTAGATGGGGACAAAATACAAAAATAAGTACAAGAAGGCAACTCAGACAGTACTCCCCAAGGTGCTTTTCAAAAGGCAACTGGACTTCCTTGTTTTTTTTTTCCTTGAAAACATTTCACTTCTCATCTAAGAAGCTTCTTTAAAACACCAAGAAAAAGCCAAGAAACTCCAGTTGCCTTTTAAAAAGCACCCTTGGAACAACCACGACCTGGATGATTGAGAGTTTCCATAGACAAGCAACCCAGATAACAAACCAAAACAAAAAGCATCACAGACAGAGAAGTCTCATGCAACCTACCTCAAAGCCTACAAGAATAGCCAGGTCTTCATGGCTTTTTGGAATACTCTCGTAGGGAATCTCATTCCAGAGGGCAGCTCTACTACAGGGAAAGTGGATCCCAAAAGACCCTGAATATGGGGATCCAGAGTATGCCCACTTTGTCAGATTGTCCTGGATAGGAAAGAAAGCACAAGAGATAGGCAGTCCCTCAGATAAAGATAAAGATTCCCCTCGCACATATGTGCTAGTCATTCCCAACTCTAGGCGGTGGTGCTCATCTCTGTTACAAAGCCGAAGAGCCAGCGCTGTCCAAAGATGTCTCCGTGGTCATGTGGCCGGCATGACTAAACACCAAAGGCGCACGGAACGCTGTTACCTTCCCACCAAAGGTGGTCCCTATTTTTCTACTTGCATTTTTTACGTGCTTTCAAACTGCTAGGTTGGCAGAAGCTGGGAGAAGTAATGGGCGCTCACCCCGTTACGCAGCACTAGGGATTCGAACCACTGAACTGCTGACCTTTCAATCGACAAGCTCAGTGTCTTAGCCACTGAGCCACCATGTCCCTTGTAGCCCCTCAGATAGCCAGGCCCAATCATATACAGAAACACATTGGCAACCAGTACAAATTAGAAATCGGGTCCAATATGGGCAAGCTGAGACAAAGAGTGAGTGGTAGCTACTGCCAAAAGGCTCTTTCGTAGCTCCATTTGGTGAACCAGTGCACCCTTTCCTATATTAGGAAAGCCCTCCTGTCAGTTACACCTGTGTCATTTCACTGCTCGGCTACTGTAATGTACTCCATAAAGTCCACATTCTGGATAGAGAGGACCATTGGTTTGAAAAAGGCCATTTATGTTAACACTGAGCAGCCCTCTCTGAACAGAGAGAGATAAGACACCATCGCTCTTCTGTCTAGAATGCAGTTCTTTCAGCAATTCCAAGAAGATTCTACCCCCATTTACACTCTGTTACAAGTGATCCTGAGGGCACAGATTAAACCCTCCAAGTGGCCCTAAGAGCTCTCAGGGAGAATGCTAACAACTGCATGACTGCAAAGAAATATGTTTCCTTCCCAAAACCCCACCCATCCTATCAGAACTAATCCTTCCATTGCCCCCACCATCCTGCCAGAACTGATGAAGCTTCTTGGATGAGAAGCAAAATGGTGTCTTCCTCAAGGAAAAAGCAACCCAGTTGCCTTTTGGAAAAGCATCTTTGAGATTGTGTTGGATTGATTCTGCTCTATTTTGAGTCCACTATGGAATGATCCAGAGCTTGATCCTCTCTATTTTAACTTTTACCTGAAACTTCTAGAAGAGATCAACCAGTGTGGATTGCAGTATCACTAAGTTCAAGATATCCAGTTGTATTTCTGCACCCAGGGGAGGTGCAGGAGAAGTCTTGGTCTGGTCTTTGAAAGATACTGAGGTCGAGAAAAGAGGATTGTGCTTAATCCCTGAAATAGAGAATAGCTAACTGTTTAGAAGCTGACTGACCTCAGGAGAAGTCCAAACTGAGCTGTGCACCTCTTGAAAAAGCAAGTTCAGAATCTGGGTTCTTGTCAGAATAATAAATGGGAGCCATGACTTTCAAGGCCAATGCAGCAGCAGCTACAAAACCTTCCCAGAATTTTGGGAACACATAATATCCTATATACTGTTGACTATAATAAGTACCTCTAATTAGGCTTGAATGCCTAATTATGTATGTCTTGAAAACCATACAAAATGCAGCAGCTTCCTTGAATGAGCGCTGTTATAGTCACATACTTTTCTGGAGGAGATGCAATGATTATCAGTTTGTTTCTGAGTGCTGTATCTTGGGATCTGGACAACTTGTAAGACACTTAGTAATTCCAGCAGAGAGGTACCCTAAGAATGCCCACCCTGGTAGATAACAATAGAAGGGGCCCAGAAATGAACATTCTTTGATTGGGTTCTTTGGATCACCTTGCTACCTAAAATGGTCATAGACCTTTAAAGTTTTTAAAGAAGTAACGATCAGTTAAAACATTACTTTGTTGCAGATCTTTTGGGGACTGAAGGATTTAATGTTTAAAGGAGGAGGGAGGTTTCCCACAGGTTTTCAGGTGAGGAGAATGCTGTGTGGAATATAGGATTATTCAACATGTATGGATGTTGCTAGTCATTATATATATATATATATATATATATATATATATATATATATATATATATTGATATATTGATATATTGATATCAATATATATATATATATATATATATATATATTGATATATATATATATATATTGATATATTGATATATTGATATATTGATATATATATATCATTATATATATATTAGGAATATCTATCTATATATATATATATATATATATATATATATATATATACTTACTTACTTACTTACTTACTTACTTACTTATGTTCTATTAGTTTGTGTAAAGAGTTTAGATTTGTAAGACCAAAATGGTTTAGAAGTCTCAGCAATAAATAAATAAAACACTGTATATAACAGTTCTTATATGAGGAAGTACTGTATATGAATACATTTTCAAAAGGTTTGAAATCATTTTAAAAAATTGAAAAAATGGGATCATGCACATAGGCCTACAATATTAAGATAGTCCTGGTCTGGATAAGTCAAGCCAAAATCCCAAGAAACCCCCTTTCTATGATTTTGCTGTGTGCTGTAATGCCAGGGCCTACCCTAGTCTTTACTACTGGAACTTTAATAGAAGGACACACGTGGATTTTGGTTGAAAGTAATGCAATTGCATAATCTTGGCAGGCTTCTAATATGATGGTATCTTTCTTGGACTGCACCAGTGCCATCTGTAGCTGTGCTTCCTTATTTGGCAGGATGTTTCTCTTTCTCTCCCCCTCTCTGTGGGAAACTTTATGACTGGTAAACAGTTTCTGGATTGAATACCCTCTGATATGCTGACTTTGAAACTAGGAAACCCTATGAAATTTTGCCATGCTCGTTTCATTAGTTTCTCTGCCTGAGGTTAGGTTGAGAAATTCAAGATGGCAGATTTAATCTCATGTCTTGTAAGTAGCTACTTTATTAAAACTTGAATAAATAAAGATTCCATTTAGAGAAGCAAACAGGAAGCATCTGTGGGTGGAAAGAGGAATTGTTTCTTTTTCCATATGTCACAAGAACTTACTACATTAGGGCCGTACCGGCCCTTCCTAAGTAAAGCACTTCTCTGTATCTGCAGCAAAAAGCAGCCTCAGTTTCTTCCCTTTTTCTGAAGTCTTCATAAGTATGCATGTCAGGGGATCTTTTGGTGGAGATAATTGTCCTGGTGGAAGGATTTATATGAAACCTTATAAAATCTGAGCCTCCTTGAAATAGATGCACTCAGCCTTGAAATGGTGTGTCCTTGCCTGTTTTGAATTGAGATCTTGTTTAATTGGTGAAGTGTTTGCTAAGACTAAGAGCAGCATTAGGGGAGAAAAATGTTTGGAGCAAGGATATATCTAATCATTTTCATGATGCTTATCTGAACCTGTCCAATTTCTCTGAATTCTTAAAGTGCAGTGTCTAGAATTGGACTCATTGCTCAACATAGCATCTGAATGGAAGTATTAATTCCAATTATGTGTTTAATATTTTCCCCTTTCTATCTCATTTTTTAAAAATGATAAAAAGATTTAGAATCTTTAGCAGTCTTTGGGAACTGAATCAAAACCTTTATTTAACTATATGAGATCCCAGGACTTCATGTTGGATTTCTCTACACTAGACAGTAATTGACAGGAGCTGCTTGTTGTAAAAAAGGCTGGCTTTAAAATTGAAGATTAAATATCCAGGGATCACATTGACAAATATGAATTGTATGTTGTTTCAGAATAACTATTACTAAGGTTTGGAATGATATTAAACAAGATTTATCAAACAAATTTCAACCATCATTATTGGGTAGATTTTTAGTAATTAAGATGGATATTTTATCTAGGACGCTGTTCTTAATTTTTAAGATAAATATACAGATGAAACCAGAGGTTTTCCTTCTAGACTTGATGGATAAATAGATTGAAAGAAAATATGGGACTTTGTTTCTTTAATTGACAACAGCAGTGAGACTCTTGAATGTATATAGATGGAAAGATTTACAAATTCCCAGAGTGGAAGAATAGACACTGAAAGTAGTGGAATTGGCTAAGATGGCAAAACTGATTATTCTGATTAAAGAAAAGTCTTTGTCTAATTTGATTTCTACTTGAAAACCACTATTGAAAACTTGAAAACCATTCTTGCTAGAAAATACCAATAGCAGTTAGACTTATACACTGCTTTACAGTCCTCTCTAAGCGGTTTACAGAGTCAGCATATTGCTCTCAACAGTCTGAGTCTCATTTTACCTACCTCGGAAGGATGGAATGCTGAGTCAACCTTGAGCCTGGTGAGATTTGAATTGCCAAATTGCAGGCAGCCAGCAGTCAGCAGAAGTAGCCTGTACTCTCATCACTGCACTCTAACCACTGCACCACCATTTCTGTGGATTATTAGAACTGTTGATAATTATAGAAATACTGTACATTATTGCTGACT